GACCATAAAGGACTTTGGAAGAGTTTCAGAGTAGTTGTCAGTATGAATGCCCATTGCTACAACAGGAACTTAGGTATAGTTTAAGTAGATGAATGTGCATGCTAACGGATGAAATTGAGTTTATTTTTGTAGAGTAAGAAGGATACTCGGATCAAATTATTACGCCTCAACCTTAAAAATTTAATTATTAGAAAGGACTTCAACCGACTCTCACAATAATCTTATTACAATTTTTACACTTAACATCAGAGACCTCAATAACAGGGCCAAACTAATTGAAATTACTAAATCCCTAACTAGTGAAAGACATATTCTTTGCTGTTTTGAGGCTAAAATTACTAAGTCAAATCCATTTTTCAAATCTTTAAATAATATAACTATAATCACAAGCCTGCCTAACAATGCTGTCAATAATAGTACTGCCATACTCCTAATCAAAACCATATTTAATCAAATCTTTAAAACTTTCACCTTCAATAAATTCTGATATACTGTTCACCTAAAGTTCAAATCTAAAGTAAATATAATAATTATCTCTTGTTATCTTTTCCATAATCCAGACCTAAAAAAAATAGCTATCAGAACTCTTAAAAATTTTATTAAAGAATATCACAACAAACATATTATTGTTACAGGGGATTTTAATATATATTCCATTTATGTGTCTTATATAAATGCTGAAACTTTGGCATATAAAAAACACATCTATTGTTATCTTTATAAATTTGTTGATATTGCCAAAGTAATGAACAAGGAACAGCAATATATACTATTATTGATATATGGTAAGTCTGTCACTAGTCTGAAGCTAAGACTCATATAACGATAAGGATAGGAGTTGGGAATCACTTGCTTAACCAAAGATATTGTTATCAGTATATGACGAGTCAGTCGCTAGTCTAAAGCTAGGGCTTGTATATCAATAAGGATAGGGTTTGGGGATTATTTACTTAATCAAAGGTATATATTAATAATCTTTCTTCTCTGATATTGCCAGTTTAATCCTCTACCACAATTTCTTTTGGGCTTCTAGGATTCCTACAATAGCCAATAACTTTACAAAGGCAAGTTTATTAATGTATTATGGTAAGTATAGGTACAAATAGTATTTAATAAACAATTATATTCTCTAGGATCTATTATTATTATTATTATTGTTGTTGTTGTTGTTTCTATTTATCCTAGTCAATTCTACCTATATTTATATAGCTTGTGACGCGTCTGCTAATCTATTGTCGTGTCATGCAAATTAAACTCTTGGCTGAATAGACTTTTCCATTCATAATCCACTGCTTCATGTCTAGTCACGTGACTATTGGCAATCCAGATCGACCTACACATTTTTCTCCACACTTATTTTTATATGCCCCTGTGCATATAATTATACTAAAACCTCCAGATCATAATATCTTTTTAAGATCTTGATGTTGATAGGGCTAGCCAATACTTGTTCATTGGTGGTTCACAACTGGTATATGTCGTGGGTAAGTATGTCATATACATAATACGGTCCACTCCATTTATTAACAAATTTGCTGCTTTGCGAATGCTCTAATGCTGCATGGTACATCAACACTTTGTCACCGATATCGAATGGTTCAGCTAATTCTTTATTAGTATCATGGTGGACTTTCTGCTTTGCTTGCATTTTACTCACTCAATCCATGATCCATTCTCTCACTCTAGGTAGGTGCTCTACTAAGTCATACATTTATTATAATATGGTTCCATCTAACAGTTCATTTGTTACACTTGGGTGTATTAGCTGATGAGCCTCACATCTATAAATGAGATAGAAAGATATTATTTCTGTTGTGGCATGCTTGGATATATGATAGGTGAAGAGGATGGATGGGATCAGTAGGTCCCAATCAGTTATATTCTGTGTCAGTTTGGCTATGGCTTTGCACAAAGTGCGGTTAAAGCACTCTACCAATTCATTAGTTTGCAGATAGTATGGCATTGTAAACTTCTGCTTACTTTGGAATTTTTCTAACAATGTTCACACCATTTTGTTCTTAAAGTGAGTATCATAATCTGTGATGATCTTTCCGGGACAACTATGATGGCAAATAATGTTGTCATATATGAAGTCAACTACAGTAGATGTGTCTGCTTTCTCAGTGGCAATTGCTTCCGGCCACTTTGTCATGTAATCCATGGCGATGATGATATATCTCTTCATCCTAGGAGTACCGGGCAGAGGTCCTATAAAATCGATGCCGATTTGATAAAAAGGTGCCAAGATTGGTATTGGTTGTAATGGATCCAGTATACGCGTTTTACCTTACTGCTAATATTGATCATAGCTCTAGGTATAATTGCATATGTCATCGTATATTCATGACCAGTAGTAGCTAGCTTTAATCTTTGTAAACATTATATCTTTATTAAAATATCTGCCCAAAGGGTGACAATACGTCGGAAATAAAACAGGTTCAACTTCGTGCTTTTGAAGTACATGCAATAAATGACCCTGGTTTTGTCTGTTCTTCTAATAAAGGATACTATCTTTAAATATGTAATTTTTACTCTTTTGTTACAATATACATTTTTTTTTTGTATTAAATATTGTTGGGACCTTTTGGTATTGGATATAGTTTCAGAGGTGATTGTAGTGTTCTATTTCCATTTTATTTATTATTATTTTTTTTTTTTGTGTACATATGTTAAGACACTGGAACCTGGATTGGATTTTGTTTCTCAGATTTTTTTTTTCACTCTCTCAATTACTCTGTTCTTCTTATTCCTTTCCCTTATCTCCTTTTGTTTCTAATAAAGTTGTACTATACTAGAAGTGGGACAACATATCAGCATTGCTATGTTTCTCACCTTTGTAATATATGACAGTGAAATTGAAAGCTTGTAACCGGAGAATCCATTGTGTTCGTCTTTCCATTAGTTTAGACATTTGCAACCACTTGAGTATCTTATGGTTCATAACTACTATAAAGTGTTTCAGTCCATAATAGTACTGAAAATGCTTAATTGCCCAAATTATGGCTAGACACTCCAACTCTGTTATGGCATAGTTTCGCTCATACTTAGTTAATTTGTGGCTGGCATAAGTGATTACATACTCCTGACCATCCATATCTTTCTGCTCCAGCATGGCTCCTAACCCATGTCCGGATATGTCAATATGCATATAAAACATTTTATTGTAGTCCAGATATCTTAAAACTGGAGCAGTGACGAGGTGTCATTTCAACCACTCGAAGGCTTAATCTTGATCATTCTGTCATTTATATTTAACATTCTTTTTTGTCAGATAGTATAGTAGTTGCGCGATCATAGAAAATCCTTGAATAAACTGCCGGTAATACAATACGAGACCAATGAATCCACATAGCTGGTATACATTTGTTGGCACTGGAAAATACTTTACTTTATCGATCTTAGCTTCATCAGGTCTAACTCCATCTCTGCTAATCATGTGACCTAAGAAGTCTATCTGCACCTGAAAGAACATGTATTTACTTAGGTTTATTTTTTAGTCCGGCCTCCCTGATCTTGATTAGTATGGCTTGGATATGCGTCGAGTGCTCTCCTACTGTTTTAGAGTAGATAGTTATATCATCCAGGTAAACCATCACAAATTTTCCAATGAATTCATGTAGCAATGTGTTTATTAGATGCTGGAACGTTGCCGGGGCATTATACAGTCCAAATGGTATGACTGTGAACTCGTACATCCCCGCAAATGTAACAAATGCTGTCTTTTCCTATTTTTTTCATGCACTTTCACTTGCCAGTAGCCTGACATAAAATCGATGATACTAAACCATTGCGCACTAGCATATACTTTAATTAGGTCATCTATTAATAGTAAAGAGTAGGCATTCTTTTTCATTACTGCATTGATTTTTTGATAGTCTATATATAGCCTAAGTTTTTCACCTTTTTTTGGTACTACAACTATCAGAGACAACCAAAGACTCTTTGATTCTCATACTAATCCATGCTCCTTTAAGTGAGCTATTTCTTTTCTTATAAATTCTCTGATGTCTGGGATGGTTCTGTAGACGTTTTACTTGATTGGGCTTGCCTCATCTGTGTTGATCTCGTGTTCAACGATTTTGGTGCAATCCAACTCTGATACAGATTGTACAAATATGTCAGGTCCTTGTTTCAACGTGTTTTTTATCTGTCCCACCTGTTCCTCTTTGAGTTTGTCATCCATTTCTAGTTTCTTAATCTTTTCTTTGATGTTTTTCTCTTGTGTCGGCTCCATTAGCATTGGCAGTTCCTCAATTAGCACCACGGCATCTTCTTCGAGCATGCTGGTATCAAAATTAATTGCTGACTTAATGATTTGTTCATCCTCAGTATGGCTTGATTCCTCCATGATGATACTTGCCTTGTTGCCTTTTTCAATACTCACTTCTTCACTCAGTTTCTCCTCTTCTAATGGCAACGATTCTCTAACTTGGATAAAGTACATGGTGGGGCTTAATCCCTCAGATCTTGTCTCATCATTGGATCCCAAGTCACTATATAGCTCAGATTACATGTCATTATTGGAATCTGAATCACTACGTGACTCCCCTGTGTAATACCCTTCTTTTACTTTTACTTTTTTTTTCTCATATATGATTTTGTTTAACAATTTATCAGTCCATTCTTCATTATATTGCTCATAATCATCAGTTTTATTGGTGGACACCTTTCTTGCTCTATTATTGGTAATTAGAACCTTGATCATTTGACTCTTGTATTTCAGTACTAACTTTTGTTTATCAATATAGATTCTTGCCTTGACCTTTTCGAACCAATTGTTTTCTAAGATCAGTATCTCGTCCTTGGAATCGACCATTTGTACTGATGTTGGGATCAGTATTCCTTGTATTAATATTTTCAGGTTATTAATATTTTCTAATGCCCTAGTCCTTATGCCTGTAATAAATACTATTGTCATTATTAATGTGAGGGTCCTTCGAGATCCTCTTTATTAATTAAGTTTGTAAGGCTGAGGCATAATAATTTGGTCTGAGTATTCTGCTCTTTCTCTAAAAAATAAACTCAAATT